TGGTCAGACAGGCTGGTGTGCTTCTTCCATGTGGGCTTTGATGTTTCTCAGCTAGATAGCCGCTTGTTTGTTTTCAAGCCTTTAAGATCCCAGACACTATATCTTATGGTAGCCGGGTACCATCAGTTTTCTTCACCACATTAGCTGATGTTCACATTTTTCTTCAGCAATCATGTCGGGAAGGTGTGCATCCTGGAATTACAGCAGGTTTTTAATAAGTCTTCCTCCAATACTAATGGTTCATTCTTTTCCATATAATCCAACTTCTCTGATTATTTGCTCATCATACAGATTGAATAAGTATAGTGAGAAGATACAACCCTGACACACACATTTCCTGATTTTAAAGCATGCGGTATTCATTGTTCTGTTTGCACAACTGGCTCTTGATCCACATGCAAGTTCTGCATGAGCACAATGAAGTGTTCTGAAATTCCCATTCATCTTAAGGCTATCCATAGTGTGTTATGATCCACACAATCAAATATCTTGAAAATGTTGCATGGATTATTAAAGTATCTAAGAGTAACACTGGGGGAAAAAGTGTCATTAATATATTTTCACTATTTTTTGAAAATAATTTTATTTGGCTGTTGTTGGAATATACATAGTAAAACACACACCAATTCAACATACCATTTATTGACATCGATTATACTCCAGTTGTGCAAGTAATCACTCTCATTTCTCTTTTCCGTGTTGTTCCTTCTTCACTGGCAAAATAAACTCACTTTCTTGAAAGTTTCTATTTAATCTTTCAAGTTGCTGTTATTATTGATCTCAAATAGATGGTTCTTAAAAGAGCAAAATGCTCAAGGAAGATAGTTTTTAGAGTTAAGCTAAACTAATATCTGTTAAAAAAACAGTTTTATTGGCATATAAACTATCTCTGCCACAACACTAAGAGATTATTAATCTAGTTACTATCACTATAGATTTACCTAACCTAGATTTTAATATAAGAAAAACCATACCCCCCCAACAAAACAACAGAAGAGAATAAAAAACAATGCAAAAAAAAAATCCAACAAGGAAAACAAAATAAAACACAGAAAACCTCAATCTAAAGAAAGCAGACACGGAATCTAGGAACAGGATTGGGAGTAGCAATACCTGGCGGGTAGGGGGAAGGTGGGAAGAGGAGTGGAGGAATAGGGAACCAATAGCAATGATCAACTCATAACACCCCACCCCACCCCCAGGAGGACGAACAACAGAAACCATGGGGGAAGGGAGAGGGAGGTCAATGTAAGATATGAAAATAATAATGATTTATAATCTATCAAGGGGTCGTGAAGATGGGGGTGGGGAGGGAGTGAAAAAGAAAAGTTGATACCAAGGGTTCAATAGAAAGCAAATGTTTAGAAAATAATGATGACAACATATGTACAAATATGCTCAATACAATTGATGTATGGATTGTTATAAGAGCTGTAAGAGCCCCCAATAAAATGATCTTTTAATAAAAAGCAAACAAAACAGAAACAACCCAAACAAAACAAAAAAACAAAATGAAAGCAGAAGACATTAGAAACTAGAACAAATTTAAAATGTGTCAAAAGGGGAAACAAATGATAATATGTTAAATTTTAACTTAACTATGTCTTCAGTAATCCACTTTCCAATACACTCTGACTGAGGGCAAGACTATTCACATCGCTTGTCAATGGTTTGAGTAAGTTCAATGGATGTTTACTCCATGTGGGGACTCTACAAATGGATTTTGAACTTTCACTATTTTATGGGTTTTGCTAAGAGTGTTGGTGTGAAGGGGTATTTCACTGCTGTTTTAATTTGTATTTCGTGTATAGCTAATGAACCTGAGCATTTCTTCCTATGCTAGTTGGCCTCCGGGATGTTGCTGGTATAGAACAAGGTTCTAAGAATGGATGGAATCCCACAGAAATAGTTCATGAAACTCTTGCAGTGCTGGGATCACTCACTAGTCTAGGCCAAGAAATTTGAAAGGGCAGAAATTCGTATTGGTGCCCTCCAAACAAAGGTGACCAAAGAGAATGAGAGAATTATTGAACAATATCACTGATATCACAGGCAAGTGCATTTTTGCTGATGATAATTCAGAAACATTTGCAGCAATTCATTGACAGGGAGCTACCAGAATTTCAAGCTGGTTTCCCGAAAGGAGGTGGAATGAGGGAAATCATTGCAGAAGTCATAGGATCTTATCTGAAGGAAAAATATCCCAGAAGGATGTTTATCTATGTGTTATCGATTATGCAAAGACATTCAACTGTAGCTCATAATAAACTATGGAGAACATTGAGAAGAATGAAAATTCCAGAACACTTAATTCTGCTCGTCCAGACTGTACAAAGATCAGGAGGCAGTCATTCAAACAGAACCAGGGCACTAAATGGTTTAAAATCAGGAAAGGTGTATGTCAAGGTTGTAGCCTTTCACATATTTATCAATCTGTATGGCAAGAAAATAATTTACGAAGCAGAAATACATGAAGAACAATGTAGCATCAGGATTGGAGAAAGAGCCATTAATGATATGCAGATGACACAATTTTCCTTGCTGAAAGCTAAGGGGGAGGTGAAGCACTCTCCAAGACTAAGTCTTCACTATAAATTGCAACTTGATGTAAAGAAAATAAAAATTCTCATAACTGAACAAGTACAAAACATCATGATATTACATTTTAACCTAACTACATCAACAATAGTTCAATTTTACAATGCTCCCTGTCAATATCAATAGCAAGGCTATTCATATCCCTGGGCTATGATCAGAGGGGATTCACTGATTCACTGGAGGCTTAATACACGTGTGGACCCTGCAAATGGGTCTTGGGTTTTCACCGTCATCCATAGCCTTCTGCAAATCAGGTGTTCACAGTTTAAACCTAGACACTATTTCCTCCTTTGGACTTGCATTATATTATTTACAATCCTTGGATCACACTGAATGGTGTGTTTTTTCCATGTGGACTTAGTTGATGCCTCACATTGTAAAGTTGATTATTGCACATGCCGTTAGGTTAAAATGAAATACCTTATCATGTGAGATCCCTTTTCACCCATTTTAAAGTTGTTTCAGTTTTTAATACTTCCTGCTTTCTTTTCGATTGATGTTTTTCTGTCTTGTCTAGTCATTGTTGTTGGATTTTACTGGGTGTTTGTTTGCTTCCTTTTTTGTGCTTTGTATGATTTTCTGTATATGAAATAATCCAGGGTATGTAAATATACAGAGTCAGTAAGTGGATTAATAGTGGATTAATAGCTACCTAGGCATGACAGGAGAGGTTGGGGTGGAACTGTGGAGCTAACAACGAGTACAAGAAGAAAATGTTCTGAAATTGGTGGTGGGGATGACTGCACAATTATTTTTAATGTTATTGAATGATTAAATTGTATGATATGTGAAATATATGCCAATAAATTTATTTTAATAACCATATGATAAACGGAGAAAAGATTTAACTTGTCAAGGATTTCATTTTACTTGATTCACAATCAATGATCAAAAAACAGCAGTCAAGAAATCACATGACACATTTTTATGGGAAAATATGCTCCATAAAACCTCTTTAAAGTGTGTGGTAGTTATACACTTGTTAGTCAGTCTTATTTTCGAGGGATGTCTTTCAAGGAAACACGGTATGAGGAAAAGGAGAAGATCATAAAAGCAGCTAGGGACAAGCAAACATTCATGTATAAAGGTACCCCAATAAGAGTATGTTCAGACCTATCAGCGGAAATGATTCAGAAGAGGAGGGAATGGAGTAGCATATTCCAAAAATTGAAGGAAAACAACGCAAACCCAAGAATACTTTACCTAGCCAAATTATCTAGTAAGATAGATGGAGAATTAAGAGTCTTCACAGACAAGAACAACCTCAAAGAATACATAAAAAGAACCCCAGCCCTGCAAAAGATCCTTGCTGATCCAGTATGGGCAGAAGATCAACACTTACTGAGGGCAAATACCCTGTTTCCCCTAAAGTAAGACATCCCCCCAAAATAAGACCTACTTACAGCGTTGCCTCTCGCTGAAATATAAGGCATCCCCCCGAAAATAAGACCTCCCCCAAAATAAGGCTCCCCGAAGCTACCGTAACTCTGGACTCTGGATCATAGCAGTGGGCGCTGCCGTGCAGCTCACTGTTGGCCGCAGTGCAGCCGGAGCAGACAGGAAGTGTGAGGTCTCTTTTAATAAAACAATAAACAATAAATGTGTATTGTATTCTTCATGGAAGAATAAGACAACCCCTGAAAATAAGACCTAGCACACCTTTGGGAGCAAAAATTAATATAAGACACTGTCTTATTTTCGGGGAAACAGGGTACTTGGATAATTTGACAATTATGTGTCTTGGTGACTTCTTGGGATTCAGTGTGGCTGGTGTTCTTTCAGCCTCATGAAGGGTTGTCATTTCTTAAGCTGGGGAAGTTTTCCTCTAAGAATTCCCTTGCTATTTTTGCTGTTGACTTCTTTATTGTGTCTTGTTCCAGTAGTCCAATTATTCTAATATTGTACCTATTTATAGTATCAGACATGGCTCTCAAGTTTTCTTCAGCTTCTTTGATTGTCTTATTTGACTGCTTTTCCTGTTTCCTGAAGTCTGCTTGGTTATCCTCTAGGTCACTAGTGCTATTCTCTGCCTCCTCAAGTCTGTTGGAAAGGTCTGTCAATTTGCCACTGGATTTTGTTATTTCATCCCTTAACTCTTGTATTTTCCTTTGGTGTGTTGCCTTTATCTCCTCTATCATTTTATCTTTTTTTCTGCATTGCTTCCCTCATATCCTTTATGACTCCAAGCAACATTCTGAAAATTTCTTTTTGTGGCAGGTCAATAGCTGCTTCTTCTATGCCCATCATTAGGTTCATGACTTCTTCAGGCATTGCCATCTGTTTTTCCTGCTTTTTCTTTGAAGCTGTTAGAACTGGTTGCTGTTTGCGTGTTGTTTTAGAGGAGCCTGGATCCATCTTTCTGAGTCGAAGAGCACTGGGTGCTCTCTTGGGGGACTCTTATGAGTGCTTCTATGAACTACCTGCTGGTAACTATACTGAGTGGTCAGGCTACCGCTATATCTTCCTGTGGTTTCACTATAATCCTAGCCATCCAGTATTCCGTTATTTGGAATGTGAGTTGGATATTCATCTCATGTGATGCTGGTAGGGTTGTTATGGGCCCATGAGGGCCTTGCTTCCCTGGTTGATCTCTAAGTAGGCTTCACGGTGCTTGGAGCACCTCGGATGGCTTGTGGTGTTTTCCTCTGCAACTGGAGTGCCAAAGAGGGCATGTGGGTGTACCCTCCTTGGTGTAGAGCACCATAGCTAGCAGGGGGAATTACTCTAGTCAGAGAGATCGCCTTGGAGGTTGGGTGGATGTTCCCACAGTAGCGTGGAGCCCCACCACTGGCGATCAGGCATTTCCCCAGTTTAGGCTGGAGAAGCCCTCACTGTTTGCAGGGGAGAACCCCCTGCTGCCCCCTGCTGCTTGGTGTATGGAAGAGGACCAGTGTGACTTCCTCAGCTGCATGCAAAGCCAATAAATGCAGGTGGAAGTTCCCCCTGTTGGGCCTTAAGAGTTGCCCTAGGTGGAGGGGAGTGGCCTGGAGGCCGCTAGTGGCTTGTGACAGGAAAGAGAGTGAAAGGAGAGGAAAAAGAAAGAAAGAAGAAAATAAAGACTGGAGAAACAATGCCAAGCAAACGAACACCAACTCACCCACCCAAAACTAAAATGCACAGAGTAAACAAAAATTAAAACAGTAAAAAAAGAAAGAAAGAAAAGAAAACAAGAAAAAAGGAGAACAATATCCTGAGGCTGTGGCAGGAAAGAATGAAGAGCTAGGAGAGGAGGAGCAGAAAAGAAGAAAAAGTGCAAGAAGAACATAAAAGAAGAAAGAAAAAGAAAAAAAGAAAGCAAAGGAGAGAGAATTAAAAAATTAGATAAAGAGATAGCTGACCCCATGCTGTGCTGTGTGTAGTACTGTCTCGTGCTCTGTGCAGCACTGTCTTAGGGGGCAGAGTTGCCCTAGTCAGAGGGTAGAGGTCTGGGACCCAGCAGTGGCATGTGAAAGAAAAGAGAGGGAGACGAGCGAATCATACAAGCAGAGAGAGAAGAGAACAAAGAGAGAGAAAAGAAAGAGAGAGAGAAGAAAGAGAAAGAAGGGGAAAAATTCAACTGTGTTCACTGAGATTGGCTGTGATGGTAAAGAGGGAAGAGAGAGAGGAGGAAATAAAGAATAAAGAGATAGCTGATCCCTGATTGCTTGAATGTGGGGCCAGAGGGGTTTAGACGTTGCCCCACAAGGGCAGCTTGGTGTGCCCTTGTAATGCAGGGACCCAGTGGTGCTCGGTGGAATTGCCCTAGTTGACGAGATCACCTTAGAGGTCCGGTGGAGGTTTCCTCAGCAGCACAACATGCTGTAGATGGCTGTCATAGCTGCCTCGTGTGGTGTACAGCACTCCCACAGAAGGCAGGCTGAAGTACTCCCTGCTATTTGGGTTAATTTGGCCTAGGCGGAGGGTAGTGACCTGGAAGTCATTAGTGGCATATAGTAGGAAAGAGGAGGAAGAGGGAAAGAGAAAAAAAAGAGGGAAAAAGAAGAAAGAAAAAATCCAACACAAACCTGAGATCATTGATACTAACTGCGGTGGGAAAGATAGAAGGGTGAGCAGGTAAAGACATAGAGTGGTAAGTAAGGAGATAACTGAGACCTGATCACCTGTCCATGAGGTCGGAGGAGTTCCAACTCTAATCAAGATAGCAGGATGGTGTACCTACTTGATGTAGGGTTCCACAGATGCAGGGTGGAATTACTCTCGAAGGCAAGATTGCACCAGTGGCCAGGCATCAGTTCCCACCATTGTACTGAGCGCTGGAGTTCACTGGCATACCTGCCTTGTGCTGTATGTAGCAGTACAGCAGGGGTGGGAGTGGGGTGTTCCCACAGCCGCGTGGAGGGCCCCAGGACAGGCAGGACTTCCCCAGCTGTGTGTAGAATCACTGAGAGGGAAGCTGGGCTTATTATCCTAGCTAGACTGCTGGTGCCCTACTAGATCAAAGGATTTTATTTT